AGTAACAAGTGCCTTACTACTAGTAACAAGAAGCTATTAGAAACAAGAAGAGAACCTTTAGTATCTTATAGGTAAGTCGGTCATCTGCATAGGTCAGTCTTCCCCATTCCCACGAGAGCTGAAGGAGGCTGATGGCGACACGACCGACCTCTTCACCCCGTTTGCTTGGTGCGAGGCCAACCGCTCTTCCCCCAGAGCTCGGCGATCTTCTTCTTGATTTCAGGGCCACTTGACAAATCAGTGAGGTGGGAAGGTGCCTGGGAGACCGCCAGGAGATTCTGGGTTAAGTATGGGTGAAGCATGGTGAAAGTGTCAAACATGTTGGAGGATGGGATGTAACTCTGGGCCAGGGTAGGTTGACCTCCCATCTACCTAGTCTATTCAGTTCATTCTTGGTGGTCAATCAGGGTGTCCGGTTGAAAGACCCACAACCATGTAAATCTTGGTCAAAACCCAGGAAAAAGAAGCTACTAGGGGCTCCTGGCATCGCACCTAGGAGCAAGGACGCTACTAGGGGCTCCTGGCATCGCTACTAGGAGCGATCGGACGCTACTAGGGGCTCCTGGCATCACTACTAGGAGCGATCGGCCGCTACTAGGGGCTCCTGGCATCGCTACTAGCAGCAGGTAGCTACTAGGAACAAGAAGCTCTGTTGACCATCCCCGGGTCGTTCGCATGGACCGGCCCCCTCAAGGACCTTCCGTGTCCTCCGCTTCGCCACAGCGGTGACCACCGGTGGCGCCGGTACAAGCGCTTGGGGCGCGCGGCTGTGGGCCACGTGGCTGTCAGGGCCAAATGCGGCTGGCCGAATGTGGCAACACGAAGAGTGAAGCTTAAGGGTTATGGTGATCCCCAAATAGATAGAAACGGTGTCCAATAAGGCTACGCACAGGGAGTGCAACCACTTGTTTCTCTCGCGTCTTGTGGCTAGGGACTTCAAATAGACCGTCGTGGTGTCAAATGATGTGCTGAAGAGGAGATCAACCTTCAACCGTTGCAAAGAGCACTTTGGGTTTGCCTGTAGGATTCATGATTCATGAGGCAACTAGTAAAGTATGACAAGCCGTCAGGGACTAGATGCCTAACTACTCATTTTGTTTGTGGCATAGGATGTGCTCTACTCCTTGTAGATGAAATGTGTCATCGTTTGATCCCACGTATATAGCTTGGATGATGGACCCTTCAATGAATATGAACATACTACATGCGCATGCCTGTATGTTTGCTTGAGTGGGTGGAATCTCTGCAGGACTTCTCTTGCCATGGCTCTGCGCCCATCTTTGTATGTTTTCCCGCAGAAAACGCATTAGCGGTTGCAAGCAAGCTTCCAGGAACATGTGGACCTCCTGATTGAAAAGATGTATACCATGATATACCATGCAAATCAGCTCCTCTTGGACTCTAAACCAGCTCCACAGCAGTGTAGAGGTCTCTTTATGACGACCCTGTGGTTTTTGGTGGTTTTCTGGTGACCCACTGACCCACTGGCACCGGCCACGGATTGCGCGAGGGCGACGGCGACCGTCCTCCGTTTTTGGAGGCGACGCCTGTGCTGGAAGATGAGAGCCTTTTGAAAGCTCCCAGCAGTTTCAGCGGACCTTTGGGGCGACAACAAGATGGTCGGGGCACTCATTCTTGAAGTGAAGTGCCAGCTTTATGTGCAAGGAGTCCTAGTCCTCTCTCAGTCTTTTTTCAAGGGATGTGTTGATTGAGAAAACCTGGAAAACACCACGACATGGCGCAACAAGGGGGGCATCCTAGCGGCAGATATCCCAGCCATGCTTTGACCGTCAGACCGCAAGGTTGGCTAGTGGCTGCAATGGGCGGTGCTGCTGTGCTGCGAATCCCCTTGGAGAGCAGCTGGGACAGTCACTGACGGCCACATGTGAAGGACTTGCAGGACTTACAAGCTATCAGATCAGGATGTTGAATCATGTTGAATCCATGGAATGCAGAGACTTCGACATTTGCCATAGGTCCCAAAATGTCAAGTATAAACTGTACGCCGTACCGGAGGAAGCAGAAGACCCGCGCGCGAGAGTGGTTCCCCAAACCATGGTTGTTTGACCTCCCTGGAAGTCCATGCTGTTGATGTCGTTTGGTCAACCAGGGTGCAGGGTTTCAAGACAATGCCTCTCTTGCAAGATGGGGCGAAGGAAGCAGATGGACACACCGACACAAGCTTCGTTGTCATTTCCAGATGCCATGAAGGCGATTTCAGCAACCGTTTGTATATAAAGCCGGAGATTAAGACTTTGGCAAGCACTGTTCATTGCTGGGAGGATCACTGGATTAAGGTCAGGGAATGTATGTTTTACTTTGATACTGGGTGGTTTAGTAGATTCCCTGAAGCTGGTTTTTCAGGTGTGTTTTTCATGTTTTTGTCCGTTGCATTGGAAAAGCAATCAACCTTCAGTACAATCTGCCATTTGAGACTAACCCCACGGGACTCGATGAACACGAGACACAAACGATGGTATGGTGGTGACTCGGGCCGTACGACAAACATCGGTACGTGCACAATAGGGGAGCATGTTTTAGACGAAGGACCGAACCGAGGCGATGGAAGCCACGCCACATCCCCCGAGGCTTCAAGCAGTTGGAAGCCACGCCGTCCGATGCGCCCGATGAACGGCGCTGCGCTGAAGATCGGCCGTGCGCCGACGGCGCGCCCCAAAAAGCATGGCCGCCGGCGTCGGGTGCGCAGGGTGCGGTGATTCCGGAATGTACCTCTACCATCCTCTACCCAAGTGCGGCAGGTTTTTAAGTTGTTCAGACTTCATGTTTATTTGTGGTACCATGTGGTACCCAACCAAAACATACCAAAAGACGTCATACTCTGAAAATATTGATACTGCCCTGGGATGCCCTTGGCCTCCAAGCCTGAGGAGCAACAAAATGATTGCTGGGATACATGAGCCGTGTTTCTTGTATCCAAGATGATCGAATCAAAGAACATTGTACGTACGGGCATATCTATCATGGAAATCCCCAGTAACCTTTTGTATGGGTGGTATTTGAGGGGTAATTGTGCCTTGGCATTGTTCAATCCTTCAATCGATTCTGCTGGTGCCTCCTTTTCTTCCTTAGTTTGAACTAGGACCGCCATCGGACTCCTGGTTTCGGGCAGTTGTTCCGGTTGCAAAAACCGCCCGTTGGTCAGACGGGGCTTCAGGCTCTCAATCATATCAACAATTCTGGCCAGAAGTGATCCCAGAGCTGCAATAGGAGGCTTTAAAGATTTTAATGTGTATTGTAAATGTGTCCACTCCGGAGATCAGTGCGTTGCGGCGATAGGGCACCCCGCAAAAACAACTGCAGCAACCTCCCGCAGCAGCGCCGTTGACAGCGTCTCTTTGCTCCCTCCAATCCCCGTTCGTTCATACCATCTACCCTCGAAGACACGAGTTACGAGTTACGAGCCATCGCTTACGAGCCATCTCTCATGTCGCTTTGACGTGATGTGTTGGGCGACAAACTGCACCGATCCGTTTTTGATCAATGTGGCTTGGACGAAGCATCCGTTTGCGGAAGGGAAGGGAACGTGAGGCTGTTTGCGAGACATCCAGAGATCCTGGAAAGCCTCAGATCTAGATGGCCCTCACAAAACTGGACAGAACGGAAGAAAGAACCTGTAAGAGATAGATGAGTCAAAGATTGATATTTCGACTGAACACAATGAAACGGAACCGAATGAAAGGGGCTCCTGTCATAGAAGCTTTGTACCCTTTTGAAAGTCAGCCAAACACAGACTGGAAGATGATGCTGATCTACAACTGCTTACCACTGGTGATTCATTAGATCTTTTAAATGATATACTTTGCCACCCTGATATGTCATCGCAGTGCTCACCAAGTTCACTTCCATCCTCACCCTGTTCTTCCAGCCCTCCATTGCCCTCCCAGTCTTTGAGTTTCCATGAGTTTCCCCATGTTTCCTCCGTCACCTCGCCTCTCCCTAAAAAACACTCCGTCGCCTCCGCCTCGTCCTACTCCGAGTGCATCAGCCTTCTGCCCATCTTGCTGGGCGTCATCTTCATTCCCTCATGGCCACCTGCAGAGGCGGACCGTCGATGCGACCGGACCGTTGACGGGACCGGTGAGTCGTCGATTCGTCCACGTGGCGTGACCAAATTCAGACAGGTCGGTGTGGGTGACAAGAAGGTCACCCCAGTGAAAAGTGATTAGGAAGCTGCTTTGACATGTAGATAGGACAATTTAATGGATGATGGAAATGGCTACTGTTAGAGGTGGGAAGAATGTCGAATGTCTACTAGTGAGCTTGGACAAACCTTCGTCTCCGATCGGCGGCACATTACAGTACAAATTGATTTTGTAATGTGAATACGTGATGAGTGGCTACTGTGATCCTTGCTTCTCGTTTGAATCCACAAGCATACTTGTTGTTTGTCGAAAGCTGACCCAAAAACCTGTTTCACAAACATTAGTCAGATATCGTTTGTCCAGAAAACAGTGGCTTATAAAGCTCCTGATCATGTTGTTCTATGGAAAAAGCATGAACTCTTTGGTCAGACTTGCCGCAACCCCCTGGTGGAGGTGATTTTAGACAGCCCAACGAGCAGATCCTTCAGCAACTCAGAGACCGAACAGGAACGAAGTGGCTGAAAAGCCGATGAAAGGTGACTAAAAAATTGGATTCAAGTGTGTGTTTTTATCTATTTTTTTCGATTTGCAAAGTATTTTAAAAAAAATCATCACATGGCGACTCTTCATTCTCAGTCGGACTCCTCACTTTGTTTTCGCGGGTCGGGTCGCCACTTCAGGCGTTGGGGGTCCGAAGTCTCGGTTTGGATCTGCGTGGATTTCGGCCCCATGTTTCGCCCAGATGTTGGGTTTCGGTTGGTTTCCAAGCCTTGTCGCAACCCGTGTCGCGGGTTGGATGTGGAAAGCTACGGAACAAGAACATCGCTACCATCAAAGCTCAGGTGGTGATGCGAAGATGACATGTTCTTTCCTTTTATGTCACTACTTCGAGAAACACAGCATACGTATGGTAGCTGGTATGGCACTTGGCCACATGCTATCGGAATGGTAGACATGTAAGGCCGTCATGTTGAGAGGCTTGAGTCCATCATTTGAACCTTTGAGTTTGGCTCCGTCCAAGACGGACGCTATAATTCGAGCGGAACGGAAGAGAGCGGAACGGAGTCCTACCTCTTAGGGATTGAGAAGTCTTCAGCTCAGCTGAGTTCTGGTTCCTTCATGTTCTTTCCTAAGAACTTAGCCATGCCATTCTTAGCCATTCAGGAGTTGTCACACCCAAGCCCATGCAAGCCCATGCAAGCCCATGCAAGCCCATGCCTTCAACAGCACCGCTTGAATCCTTTCAGCCGGCAGTTTGTTGTGCGCCAACGGTGCCCAGGCGAGGTATCTTTAGAGCTGCGGTTGAAGGATTTGGAAGTGAATGGGCATGCAGATCTCTGTGCGCGTAAACACCGAGTGGTTGTCTCCCTGATGCTTGGATTGGTGAAAGGTGGGCTGCAGGTCAGATGATTGAACCTGCTACTGTATGGGTTGCCAATGCCTGCGAAACCTCTGGCTCTCACTCGATTGATTTGGTCCATTGTCTTGCGGAACCCAAACTGAATCAAAGGTTTGACAAGATGGACTTTTGATGTTTCCAATTATGATGATCAGTGGGTACTGTATGGATTTGCATGGCCAATCAATATTCTTTGCATTTCATTGATATCCGCATATGTTCCTGTCACCAAGCGGTTGAGAGGACGAAGATTTGACGCTGCCACAGATGGTCGAGACGAGAACTGGACTTCCAGTCCAGAACCAGGCAGATCATGGCGAAAAGAACGTTTGTTCTTTCGAAGAACATGAGGTAAACATATTGTACGGTACGCAGCTAAGGATGACAAAGGATGACAAAGGGGACGAACACCGCGCGACGAAAAGAACACGTGCCGTGCCGCCGTGCCGCACGGCTCTCCACCGCTGTGGGAAGACCGTTGAGGTCGACGACCAGCAGCCGGACGCAGCTCCTCATGTCGACGCTCCGATCGCTACAGACACAGCGCTGCCCAGCAGACCAGATCTTAGTCTTTGCCGCTCGGAGGAAAAGGATTGGGTCGGAGAAATTCACAGGCTTAAAGTGACCTGGAGGTATACTCTACTTACCTGAAGATGGTTGGCCTCAGTGACTTACCCTTCTTATAACTGACCTCCTTGATTTCATACAATTGTCGGCTAGCTGAGGTTTTTTTTTTCAGCTGAAGGTCGTGAGGTGATGCCTGGTTCCCCCCAAAAGACACGCCACCGAGCATGACCGATCACAGAACAACGGGGAAGGCCGGGGAATCCAACAGCCCCGAACCCACACGTCATTGTCGTCACTTGGACCTGATTGTTCAAAGCTTTTGCCTCAGTCCAAGAATCCTCTATAGAGAAGTGCCCAGAACTTGTTTTTTGTTGGATGACTTCTCCGAATCGCGCGCGGTCTCCGCTCCAAAGACGGCTTGGACTACTTATGGCGCGATGCTTGTTGCATTAGCACCATCGCTACTAGGTTGGAGGCCATCGCTTCTAGGTTGGAGGCCATCTCTAGTAGGTTGGAGGCCATTGCTTCTAAGGTTGGAGGACATCTCTAGCAGGGCTGCTAGTGTGTTTGAACGATTAAGTGGAGCTTTAGGGGCTCGCGAGGTAAAGTGGACAGGGAGAGGCCAGCTACCAGAAGCGAATCCCAGACGCTCCGTGTGGTGCAAATAGATCTTGGAGGGACCTGGCAACAAGTTTTGAGGTCCAAATCTCCGGAATGAACCAAGAAATGACTTTGTGGCCCACCTTGATTCAGCAAAGGGAGACAGACACCGAGGTTCGTGATGGGGTGCAACAGGAGCCGAACTTTCTTCAAACGCGTGTGTAACGCGTTTGGCGCGGCGCATCAACCTGAAGGTAAGGAAAGGCTAGATAGTTTTGGATACTCATGTGAGAACTACAGAACTGGATGAGGTTACTTGCGATGACTCAGTATTGAACGGTCGTTTTTCAAATCTCGTGCTTAGCTAAAATGTTTACCCCACAAGGATACACCCCACTACTTTTGCGTCAGGATTCCTTTTAGAAGGCAGAAGGCATCAACGTTTCATCCTTTTCCCACTTTGTGGGCCTAATTGTGTGGCGGAGTTCGCCGTTCCTTTTCAGTCCGTGCATCGCGGTGCCGACCCAATCGGGTGTGCAGGATGCGAACCTATCGAACGCCTTTGCAGAGGTGACGCGTGGCGGAGCCACACACGCGGCGGGAGCACGGGCGGAGCCATGGGGTAGCGGTAGCACCGGCAGTTTGACTGCGGAGATGGGACCAAGCATGTTATACCATGTTATACCATTTGTCTCTCCAAGAGATGCAGCAGTATAACAGGATCAACCATTTGAGAGTACTGCCCAGCAGTTATACAGATCAAGCAGCCCAAATGGTGGTACATTTCGGCACCCATTCCAAGAGATGCGACACGCATCCAACATGTTCCCTCGGTAGAGAGCGACCGAGTCGGAAGGCGCGCCGATGGAAGGCAACACCGCACTGGAAGTTGTGAAGAGTTACTTAAGTTTGATTCGTGGTCCTGCAGGATCTGCAGTGACCTAGGCTGTTTTACAGGGAACCTAGGCTACGAGGGCGCCAGCGCAGTCTATCTTCCCAAATCTTCTCAAAAGCAATTAAAGGGTTTTTTATCGAATGATTGAGGTGGAAGAAAAGGAATCAGCACCCGAGCAATGCACTTGCTGCGCAATGAGGTTG